TCCCGGTCTTGGACGGACAAGGAGTGTGCATTCCTAATGAGACCAAACAGGTTGGCCAACAACGACCTGCCAATGTTTCTAACACATGCCAACAGTGGGCAGTAAGAGAGTGGGAGAAATTCCTGGCCAGCCATGTGAGGACAACAATATTGGACCATCTACCGTTGCCATTCATAGCACCAGGCTATGACATGCTCGGTTGCCACAGCAACCTGGACTCCTCAGGAAGATCAGATGTGGATAAGTTTTTTTTATTCATTCATAAGATGTGGGTGTTGCTGGCTGGGCCAGCATTTATTGCCCAGAGGGCAGTTAGGGGGTCAACCACATTGCTGTGGGTCTGAAGTCATATGTAGGCCAGACCAGGTAAGGGTGGCAGTTTCCCTCCCTAAAGGACATTAGTGATCCAGATGGGTTTTTCCCCCAACAATCAACAATGGATTTTGGTCGTCGCTAGACTCTTAACTCCAGATTTTTATTGGAATCAAACTCCACCATTTGCTATGGCAGGAATCGAACCTGGGTCCTCAGAACATTACCTGGGTCTCTGCATTTAATAGTTCAACAATGATCCCACTCGGCCATTGCCTCCCCTGAGGAGTGCCAACAGATTGGCAGAATTGATTGATTTATTATTGTCGCATGTACTGAGATACAGTGAAAAGCATTGTTTTGCCTGCTATCCAGACAAATCATACCTCACATCTTTACATCAGGGTAATCGATCAGAATGCAGAATGTAGAGCTACAGCTACAGAGGACAGACCCCGTTGGGGTAGAGATTTGGATTCTGCTTCCTTGCCTGACCCATGGTGGATGCTCTGGAGCTGTGGGTCCGACCTGCTTCTGAGCAGTGAACTCAAGATGAAGGATAAAGGCATCGACAGAGGGTGCGAAAGAGTTTTACAAGGCGCCGCAAGTGAGCGATTATCAGGAAAGACTGAGACTCCAATCTCTGAGGAAAGACTCAGTTACAGCCTCTACAATGATGAAGAGATTCAGTAGGGTAAATGTAAAGATGGTTCCATTTGTTTGGAAGAACAGAATTAGGGGTCATAAATACAAGATTGTCATTAATCAATCCCCAAGAGGAAATTCAGGAAAATCTTCCTTACTCTGCGAAAGTAGAATCCAATACACTTTTAGGGTGAATTGCGTTGAGGCTTTTAAGGGGTTGTTAGTTAAATCCATGAGACAGAAAGAAATGCAAGGACATGTTAGGGTTAAGTGAAAATGGATGGGACAAAGCTTGTGCAGAGCTTCAACACTGGCATAAACCAGTTGGGCAGAATAGCCCATTTCTTTGCTAAAGTTCTATTTGATTTTCTGCAATATAACATTTACAATCCACAGGTACAACAGAAATTCAACCTAGTTTATCTTACGTGTTGAACAATTTGCAGATAAAGTGCAGTACATAATCTTAAGCAAATCAAATCTGTTTTCTCAATGATACCATGACGAAAAGCATTGACTATCAATCTGAAAATCCAGAACAAAGAACAAAACAGCAATAATATTAGAATAAACCTTGGCTTGCAAACACAATCTTCAGGCAACTATCTACGTTTTCACAAAAAAATGAAGAGAAACTCAGCAGGGTCTGGCAACGTTGAAAAACAAAAGTGAGATGAGGGCATCTCTGGTTAAGCCTAGCATTTATTGCCCATCCCTAATTGCCCAGAGGGCTGTTAAGAGTTAACCACATCGCTGTGGGTCTGGAGTCACATGTAGGCCAGACCAGACAAGCATGGCAGATTTCTCTCCCTACAGAGCATTTGTGAACCAGATGGGTTTTTACAACAATTAACAGTGGTTACTTGGTTACTTTTAGGCCATTTTTTAAAAAATAAACAAATATCTAGATTTTATTAGATTACAAATTTCTCCATCTACCCTGGTAGGATTCAAACCCATGTCCCCAAAACTCTGAAATTACCAGCATCACCATTTCCCCTGAGGGGATGAGAGAAACAGAGTTAACATTTCAAGGTGACTCTTCTTTGGAACTGAAGTTCAAAATTTGAAACATTAACTCTGTTTCTCTCCCCTCAGATGCTGCCAGACCTGCTGGGTTTCTCCAGCACCGTTCTGTTTTTCTTTCAGAACTCCAGCAACTGCGGGGTCTTTGCTTTTCCCCTGATTTCTACAAAGGGTAATGTTGACTGTGGAAGTGACAATTTCTTTCACAGTCTCAAGCTGGTCAGGACTTTTGGTTCACATGGGCACACTGCCATGACTAGGGGTTCGGCTTTGGACTCCTCACCCTGTGATGATGGTGGGGGCGGGGCAGGGCGGGGCGGGGGTGTGGGTGGGTGGATGTGTGGTGCAGTTAAACTTGTCCTGATTCGGAAACTGCGGACTCCAGGAATGTTGCATCCAGTGGAATGCCCGGGTGCGACATTATACAGCGCGGAAACATACTTTTTGATCCAACCAGTCCATGCAGAACATAATCCCAAACTAAACTAGTCCCACCTGCCTGCTCCTGGCCCGTATCCCTTCAAACCTTTCCTGTTCATGTACTTATCTAAATGTCTTTTAAATGTTATAACTGTACCACATCCATGACTTCCCCTGGACAGTTATTCTAAACATGAACCACTCTCTGTGTAAAACAAATTGACCCTCATGTCTTTAAAATCTTCCTCCTCTCACCTTAAAAATGTGCCCCCTAATCTCGAAATACCCCACTCTAGGGAAAAGACATCTGCCATTCACTTTACCTATACTTCTCATGATTTTATAAATCTCTATAAAGTCACCCCTCAACCTCCAATGCTCCAGTGAAAATAATCCCAGCCTATTCAACCTCTCCCTATAACTCAAACTCTCCAGTCCTGGCAACATCCTGGTAAATCTGTTCTAAACCCTCTCCAGCTTAATAATATGCTTCCTATAACAGGGAGACCAAAACTGGACACAGTACTCCAGAAGAGTAATGAAGGCAAGTGTGCTAAACACATTCCTTCCTAGCCTATCTACGTGATGCAAACTTCAAAGAATTATGGACCTGAACCTAAACATGTGGCACCGAATGTCCAGGTCTCTGTTACTCCTGTAGCACCTCCCAATGTCCTACCTCGTGTTGACCCATCTCCCAAATGCCAATGGAACTTTTCCAGAAACTCTAGTGGTTGGCCCAGTAATAGGGAGCTCGGAGCTGGATACAATTAATTTGTGTACGGCAAAAATACAGCTGTAAGGAGGAACATATGGCTGAAACTTGCCGCCATCACTCGTCAGGACAAATGCAAGAATGCCAAATTCCAAATGATCACAACAATTTATACTACAGGAAAAACGGGTTGCTGATTGGCAGACTAGTGGACTCTAATTGGTCCAGCTGTTGCCATGTATCAAACTATGGGGGGAACAACGGCACAAGTGAGGTGATCTCAAGTAAGAGTCTCCTGTTTAAAATCTCTGTTCGCGCTGGTGAGTTACTGGTGCTGTCTCTTGGCGAGCTCATGTTCTCAAGGAATTTGAGTTCTGCTCAGTTTGAGATGGGAATAGGAGGATGAAGAGTCAAATCCCTTTGAATGCTGTTGAAACACAGATAATCCTCCCTCATCCCCCAGCGTGTTCCCATGATAGTGACAACCTCAGGTAATAAGCAGAACGAGGACATTCTTACACATTGCAGCGTCGGTCAATCCCTAATCAGTTCCATGATCCAAGTGGGCAATGGGTAGTACTTGTTCTTTTAACCAATGACTTGGTGGTGAGTCATCAAAAAACAAAGAGCTGGTTTCTTAGGGGTCTTTTTAGAACAAAAGCTGGATTTGAGAGGAAATAGCTGGGTTCGTTTTCCAAAGAAAAAGCTGGGTTGTTTTTTTTTTAATTCCTGACTGTCTGCCTCTCTCCTGAGGCGATGTTATTTCCTAGAGACAGTAAGGATTGCAGATGCTGGAAGCCAGAGTCAATAAACATGGAGCTGGAAAAGCACAGCAGGTCAGACAGCATCCGAGGAGCAGGAAAGTCAATGTTTTGGGCCGAAAGCCTTCGCCAGGACTAGGGAGGGGGAGGGCAGCCCAGAAATAGAGAGGGACGGGGGCGGGGACGGGGACGGGGAGGGGGGGGGGGGGGGAGGATAGGTGAGATGGAGATAGGTGGATGCAGGTAGGGGGTTATTGTGGTTGGTCAGTGGGAAGGGTAGAGCAGATAGGTGAACCGGAAGAATGACAGGTTGGGGGTGGAGAGATTTTGAAGCTGGTGAAGTCAATATTCAGACCATTGGGCTGTAAGCTCCCATGGCGAAATATAAGGTGTTGTTCCTCCAGTTTACGTTTGGCCTTACTCTGACAGTGGGGGAGGCCAAGGATGGACATGTCACCGAGGGAGTGGGAGGGGGAATTAAAGAGGCTGGCAACCAGAAGGTCGGGTTGGTTGGTCCGTGCAGGTGCTCCGTGAACTAGTCCGAGTCTGCATTTGGTCTCCCCGATATAGAGGAGACCACTTCAGGAGCAATGGATACAATCTAGGTAAGGACGGCAGATTTCCTTCCCTAAAAGATCTGAGCAAGTCAGATCGATTTTTACAAAACCCAATGATAGTTTCACCATTATTGAGGTGATGTTTCAGTTCCAGATTTATTCATTGATTGGTTTGTAAATTCCAGCTATGGTGGGATTTGAACCCAGGCTCCCAGAACCTTGGCCAATTCAGTGACATTGCCAACCATGTCCACCATCTGACAGAGTTGTGTGGGTGGGGCGAATAATGTTGAAAAAGGGGTAACAAATGTATCAGGATTAAAAGGTTCACTGAAACACATTCAGGCGCTGAAACATAAAAGTGTTAAACAAACTATTCGAGAGGTGTTATATCGATTGACGCCTGATGTGAGCGAGTGGCTAAACTTTAAAGGGCTCCACTCGTTCAAAGTGAGAGATCTGTGTTTGCTTGGCTTCACTTTTACAAAAATGAGATTTTACAGAAGGTTGCAGGGACAGAAGGTTTCTTCCGGAGAGTTCAGAGGTTACTGTCATGCACATCACCTGTGTCGTTGGCCAGATTCCCATTTTCGTTCAGCCTCTTGGCCCGATACGTCTCATAGAAGATGTTGTGGGTCACCTCCTTCAGGTCTTGGAGGTGAGTCCTGTGGAGTGAGAGAGATCCACACAGAACGGAGGCAGGAGAGAGGCACGTAGCAGCAGAGACAGAAGGAAATTAGGATGGAAATAGAGACAGGCAGTAGGGCAAGAGGAAAGGAGGAGGATTGGGAGGGCACTCCAAGTTAACCGAGAGGAGACAACAGAAAGGGAGGGAAAGGCAGTTAAAAGAGAGATAGTGACAGATAGAGAACAAAACAGGGAAATGGTGTCAGCGCAGGACAAATTGATTGACCAGACAAAAAAGAGAGACGCAAAGAAAAGAAAAGAAGGAAAAAACAAAGCGGGAGGTTTAGATAAATGTGGATGGGAAACAGAAAAGGTGCACGATATAAAGGAAAGTAAGACAATTAAGGAGAGAGAGAGTGAGAAAGAAACCAGGAATCAATCAGCAGGACATTGTACAAGGCAGAAGGATGGAAGACAGGCCCAGGGAGAGTAAAAACGTGACAAGCTAAATGCAAGATGAAATGGTGAAGAGAGGGAATGGGAACAGAGATGGAGAACAGAATTGGCATCAAAGGATAAATAGAAAGATGTGGAGGGTGATTAAGAGAGAGGTTCATGAGCTATAAAAGTAAAAATAAGCAAGTCAATCTCATGCATGTAAGAACTATCATTACCTAACGATAAGGTCCCGGAGAAGTGGAAATTCACAATGAGTCACGTTCTCAACTGGAAAGGAGCAGAAAGAAACACAAGTTCAGAATGTCCTGGTACATTCAGAGGCAATATTCCTTTTCCACTAATCTGATCTGATTTGATTTGTTAATGTCACATATACCTAGGTACAGTGAAAGGTTTTGTTTTGTGTGCAGTACAGGCAGATCATAACATGCAAAGGCCACAGGGTGATTGAACGGAGCGAGAAATACAAAGTTATGGCTGCACAGTGCTGGTAGGGAGGGAATACCAGGATTTTGACCCAGTGACAGTGAAGTGAAACACCGAGGTATTTCCAAGTCAGCATGGTGAGTGGCTCAGAGTTGAAATTGTTGATGGAGGTATTCCAATGCACCCGCTGCCCTTGTTCTTGCAGGTGGTTGAAATCACAGGTTTGGAAGGTGCTGTCTAAGGATCTTTGGTGAATTTTTGCAGTGCATCTGGTACACGCTGCTGCTACCGAGCATCGGTGGTGGAGGGAGCAAATATTAAAGCTGATAGATGGTGAGTTGGTTGAGTGGACTGTTTTGCCCTGGATGGTATCAGGGTTTTGAAGTGCTGTTGGAACTGCGCTCATCCAGGCAAGTGGGGAATAGGAAACAAAAACAGAAATTGCCGGAGAAACTCAGCAGGTCTGGCAGCATCGGTGGAGAGAGAAACAGAGTTGACGTTTCCAGTCTGATATTGATCCTTCTTCAGATTATTCCTGTAGAAGCAACTTCATGATTCCCAGTGACTCAAAGGTATCTGTTCCAATGTCATTTGGACCAAGTCCAGTAGCAACCACAAAGAGTTGGGAGGTCAGCCAGCGATCAGGTGACCAGTTTTGTGTCCATGGATTAGAGGTTAAATCCTCAAACGAAGAGACATTGTGGGATGTTCCAAACTCCTTGGTTATGGAAAATCCTGACAACTGTTTGGTCAGTTCTGGGGAAATGACTGGTTTTGAAACATTAACTCTGCCAGACCTGCTGAGCTTCTCCAGCACTTTCTGTTTTTATTTCGGATTTCCAGTGTTCATATTATTTGGCTTTCATTCCTGTATGTAATTTGAGGACATTGAGTATAGGAGTTGGGAAGTCATGTTGCGGCTCTACAGGATATTGGTTAGGAAACATTTGAAATACAGTGTGCAATCCTGGTCTCCCTGCTATAGGAAGGATGGTGTTAAATTTGAAAGGGTTCAGAAAAGATTTACAAGCACGTTGCTAAGGTTGGAGGGTTTGAGCTATAGGGAGAGGTTGATTAGGCTGGGGCTATTTTCCCTGGAGCATCGGAGGCTGAGGGGTGACCTTATAGAGGTTTATAAAATCATGAGGGGCATGGATAGGGTGAATAGCCAAGGCCTTTTCCCCAGGGTAGGGGAGTTCAAAACTAGAGGGCATAGGTTTAAGTTGGGAGGGGAAAGATATAAAAGGGAACTAAGGAGCAACTTGTTTGACACAGAGGGTGGTGTGTGTATGGACTGAGTTACCAGAGGAAGTGGTGGAGGCTAGTTCAATTGCAACATTTAAAAGGCATCTGGATGGGTATATGAATAGGAAGGGTCTAGAGGGATATGGGCCAAATGCTGGAACTCGATTAATTTAGGATATCTGGTCAGCATGGAGGAGTTGGACCAAAGGGCCTGTTTCTGTGCTGCACATCTTTATGACTTTAAGTCCTGAGGAATGAGAACAGCACAATAAACTGTGTGTTCTTTCATCCTAATTAAGGCTTTGAATCTGTCTTTCCGTATTAGTACTACGTGACTGACTAAGTCATTCCCCTCCACTACCTTCAAGAGACAGTAAACGTATTAGGTCTAATGTATTGTAAAGACCACTGCCATCAATTTAAAAGCTGCTTTATTTCCAGGGTGTTTCAGGGATTGATCTGTTGAGTAATTTGGGGAACTGGATAATGAAACCAAACATTAAGACATTTGCAACTCAATCAAGAATGCCTTGTCACTCTGGAAATTTTATTATCCAACTCAACTCACTGAAAATCTGTAGTGTATGAGGAACTTCTGTTTTGAGTTAGACTGGTGAAGCTGAGGTTATTTTTTTCTTTGGGGAAGAGAAGGCTGAGAGGAGATTTGAACGAGGAGGAATTTGGAAAGAATAGATAGAGAGAAGCTGTTTCTTTTGGAGGGTGTGTTTCCTTGGTGTGTGCCTTCCTTTGAAGGCACAGATCGAAGGTGATTGTCAGCAGAAACGACTGTGATGTGAGCAGTAGCATTTCCATTTGTGGTGAGTGGTTATGATCTGGAAAACAGGGGGCCTGACTCGTCCAAAGATGTGCAGCCGAGGTAGGTTGGCCATGGGACGTGCAGGGTTACAGAGATAGAGTGGGGTGGGCCTGGGGAGAGAAGTTGGTGGATGGTGAGGAGAGAGAGAGAGGTTTGTGGATGTTGCAGAGATGGGCAGACACCATTGAAGTGAATCCCTCTGACGTACCTACAACTCACAGTAGCTTTGTGAAAACATAACCATCTCAAGCCGCACGACTCACCCTCAATGATGCCCCAGGGGGTTTTTCTTCCCAACACTCTCTTCCCATTGATTTGATACTCCGTGTCACTGCCGACAATGGCAAATGGCATGGTTTCCTGGGGGAAAACGCACAATTCAACGAACCAGAATGAAGTTCATTATCCCCCTCACCAGCATCACACCCTCCTTACTCATCCTCAGCTTCGCCAGCCCCTCACGCACACCCCCCTCAACAGCCCCTCCCCCTCGCCAGCCCCTCACTCCTCCTCCACTGCCCCCTCTCCCCCTCACCAGCCCCTCACCACCCCTCCCCCTCGCCAGCCCTTCCCTCCCCCTCCCCACCCCTCACTCCCCCGCCCTGCCCCTCACTCCCCCTCCCCTCCCCCCCCCCCCCCCCCCCCCTCCCCCCCCCCCCCCCGCCCCCCCCCCACCCCAGCCCCTCACTCCCCCTCCCCTCCCTGCTGCTCCCCTGCCCCTCCCCTCACTCCCCCTCCCCCACACTAAGCGGGATCTGCTGACAATGCCCCTACCTCCACACACACAAACACAGCTCCAACTGGATCCTACTCACCCTGATCTTGTCATTTTCCATCTTGTCTTCCATGTCCTCATCAAACTCTCTCTGTGGGTAGAACTCAATTCCATTGCTATCCAGCTCCTTCCGCACCTGACAGGTCAAAACCGAGAGATTTTAAAAAGCACATTTTGTAGCCAGTCCCTCAATCTCACTGAATCACAGACAGATGCTCAGTCAGGAACAAAGTCACTAAAAAAGAAAAAGTGGGTCAGGCTAAACAATATTCTTCAAAATTGACCTTTACCCTTATTCGCAAAATCAGACAGAGACTATTCAGCCCATCATGTCTGCTCTAGCTCTCTGGAACAGGAAAATTGATGTTTTAGATCAGTTCCTGCTCCTCTGATGCTGCCTGGCCTGCTGTGTTCCTCCACCTCCACACTGTGTTATCTCTAACTCCAGCATCTGCAGTTCTTACTATCTCTGCACCAGCTCTCTGATTGAGCCACGCATCCAGTCAAACTCTCCTGCCTTCTCCCAGTAATTCTTCCTTCACAGATTAGAGTTTAATTACCTTTAAATTGCTTTGATTGAACCTGCCTCCACCACACTCTCAGGGAGTGTCTCCCAGATCTAATCACATTTCGCCTTCTTTTGCCAATCACTTTAAATCCGTGTGCTCTCATTCTCAATCCTTTTATGAGCAAGAATGGCTTTTCCCCATCTACGCTGTCCAGACCTTCATGATTTGGATACCTCCACAAAATCTCCTCTCAGCGCTTCATTTTACTTCAAGGAAAACTGTCCTAACTTTTCCAATCAATCCTTATTAGTGAAACTCCTCATTGTTTGAACCATTCTTGGATTCAAAATGGCACTGACACAGGGTGGGTCTTTGCGAGCTCTCTACAGCAGATCTCATTCTCACATTTCTTATAATCATTCCACACTGTTACACCTCAATTCTGTTAAAATTACTAACAATGTTATCCTAAATCTATTTGCAGGCCTGAAGATTCTGTAAACGTCCAGAATTAGACTTGAGAATGGACCTCTCAAATTTCAAATCTAATGTTGATCTCGCTCTCTGTGCACCTTCTCTGTCACTGTAACATTGTATTCCTCGCTCTGTTCAATCAGCCTATGATCTTTGCGTGGTATGATCTGCCTGCACTGCACGCTAAACAAAAATTTTCACCTTATGTAGGTACATGTGACAAAGATAAATCAAATTAAATCAAATCTCATCTGCCAACGCTTTCAAATCCTTCTCGATGTGTGGCACTATTATGGTCTAGACCAGACCCCCTCAAAGTATTTTAAGAAGGTAGACTAGACCCTAACTTTTTCTTATTTTAAAGGTAGATGTGAAGTGCATGTTCCAGATGCAATTGGTCAAACTACTCAACATTAAGCAAAACACAATTTATTTGAATACTCTACTTAAAATTTAAACGAAAGAAAAAGGAATTTAGAATAACTTAACTATTGGAAAATTTAACCGTAGAATAGATACAGTACCATTACTAATTAACTGTTCCAATATAGTAACATCCCAAGAACACACCCCTTGGCAAAAAGGTAAATTCAGACACAGATTCTGACAAGCAGTTCTCTAATTCAGGAGGAAAAAAAAACATCAAGAGTGATTTCAGAGAAAGCAGCAACTGGGAACCTTTCACTGAAGCTCCCAACTCTTCTGAGACCCTAAACAGCTTCTGACTGTAAAAGCCAGAAATAAAGAACCAGGAGGCCTGGTCTGTGAGAGCTGGCCACTCTCCTTCCATTATTCCAACCTTTCAAATAAAAACTAAAGGCTTAAGTTATTTATTTCAAGACAACAAGGTGCAGAGCTGGATGAACACAGCAGGCTAAGCAGCATCATAGGAGCAGAAAGGCTGACGTTTCGGGCCTAGACCCTTTCAGCTGTGTTCAGTAGCCACTTCAATGCCACCGACTTTACAACCTCTCTTAAAAAAAACCAGGACAAAATACCCTTTTTAAAGTGACAGCATCATCACAGCACAGAGAACTGGACACAATACTCCTGCTGAGGTTTAACTAGTGTATTATACAGGTTCATCAATAACCTCCTTGCTCTCATACTGAATGTCCCTATTTAAAAGGCCCAGAGTACTTTATTAAACACTCCCTCAGCCTGCCCTGCCACCTTCATTGAGCTGTGCACAAATTCCCTCTGTTCCTGACCCCCCTTTTAGAATAGTGCCCTTATTGTATATTGTGTTGCCATTGTCTTACTACCAAAATAAATTACTTGACATTGGCTCCACACTGAATTTCTTTTGTCACCTGTCTGCCTATTCCATCAACTTGGTTACGTCTTAGACTAATTTTCACACCAGAATCAATGATCTAGAACTTCTTGTAAACGGGTTAAGGATATTATTAAGCTGGAAGCGCTTCAGAAGAGATTTATCAGGATGTTGCTGGGAATGGAGGGTTTGGGTTATAAGGAGAGGCTGGGACTTTTTTCACAGGAGCATAGGAAATTGAGAGGTAAATAACAGGTGGGAAAACACAACGGCGCTTCATCGGAGACTGCACTGATGATGTTACCCAGCTGGGTAATGAAACGTCTGCGGAAAAACGAACCAGCTCAGTGAAGCCAACCAACCACAACATCCACAACCCAAGCTACAAATCTACTCTAAAACCTTATTGAGAGGTGGCCTTATAGAGGTTTATAAAATCATGAAGGGTTTAGATAAGGGAATGGCAGGTATCTTTTCCTTAGCGTGGGGGATTTCAAGACTAGGGGGCATATTTTTAAGGTGAGAGGAGAAAGATTTGAAAAGGACATGAGGGGCAACTTTTTTTTTTTACACAGAGCGCAGTTTATGTGGAATGAACTTCCAGAGGAAGTGGTGGATGCGGGTAGTTACAACTCTTAAAAGTCATTTGAATAAGTACATGAGTAGGAAAGGTTTGGAGGGATATGGGCCAAGCACAGGCAGGTGGGACTGGTTTAGTTTGGGATTATGGTTGGCATGGACTGGTTGGACCGAAGGGTCTGTTTCCATGCTGTATGACTCGATGACTATGACTCTCCCAGTGTTACTTTTACCACTACAGTTCACGGGTTTGGTTAAAATTCCTGTGTGCAACATTTTAACACAATCCCTGGCTCGTTTATTAGAAATGTAATTAAACAAGCACTTAATGCAGAAGTTTTAAGCCATGTGCTAAAAATAAGATATGATTATTCTGCAATTATTAACGCCTGGGTCTGGGAAGGACGTTGGTAGATGGTGCAGTGATACAAAACAGAAGGTTCTGGAAACGCTCAGCTGGTTAGGTAGCCTCTGCAGAGAGGGAGACAGAGTTCATATTTCAGGTTAGAGACTTTACATTCGAGCTGGAAGAAGTCAGACTTATGACAGGTTTGAAACAAATGGAAAGGCAGGAAAAAGGAAAGACTGGAAGGAAAGAGATAGTAGGAACTGCAGATGCTGGAAAATCTGAGATAACAAGGTGTAGAGCTGGATGAACACAGCAGGCCAAGCAGCATCAGAGGAGCAGGAAGGCTGATGTTTCGGGCCTAGACCCTTCATCAGATGAAGGGTC